CAGCCCAGAGCTGGGGCTCGTGATGAAGGAGGCACCGTTCCGAGGCCCGCGGCGAGGCCTGAGCTTGCGTCTGTGCTTTGAGGGGGACGGGGGAGGCCGGTGGCCTGTGTCACCCTGGGCGGCCCTGCCCCGGGGCCCAGCCGGCTCACGGTCACGCCCTCTGTCCTGCAGCCCTTCCTCAGCCTCGTGCTGTTCGCCCTGGCCGGCGCCGTGGGCTTCGTGACCCACTACCTGCTCCCGCAGCTCCGCAAGCACCACCCGTGGATGTGGCTCGCACACCCCGTGCTGAGGAGCAGGGAGTACCGGCAGCGGGAAGTGACAGGTGAGTGACGGGCTCCCGTAGGGCGCACCTGGGCCTCAGATGTTTTCCCCGAACGCTGTCCTCTCAGCTGGGGGCTCAGACCCAGAGGGAGTCAGGCGGCTGCTTCTATAGGGTGTCCCAAAATTCACGCAAGAAGTAATTTTGATAGAAAACACAGGTTTATAATTAAAAAATAGTAATTTTTTTATTGATTCATAAAGTATAGGGTTATGTATGGAATAGCACATCGGGTCAATGGCCTCCACGGCTTTGCTGGCACATCCGCAAAGCCATGGTCTTCATTGGTCTTCATTGTCCCTGCTCCTGGGCCATCATTGGTACTTGGTCATGCTTATCGAATGGAAGGGATTGAAATCAAAGGGCAACAGATATTAGAATCTGATTCAATAAACCAAGTAAAATTAGGCTTTTATTTTTTGTTGTTGTTGTTAATGCTCACGCAAAATTCCAATCTTGCGTGAATTTTGGGACACCCTGTACATCTTGTCCTGAAAGTCAATGTGACCAGCGTTTGAAAGTCCGATCGCACCCACCCACCCCCGGGACCCAGGGCCTCTCTGGCCAGGAGCCGCTCAAACCTCTCCTTTAAGTCGGCGTTTTCCTAACAGCGCTGCGGATGAGGGCGGCTTCTGTTCCTCTTAATTTCCATATTTTTGCAGCGACCTGGCTGAGGGGGTCATGTGTCTCTGAATTGGTGACAGATGTTGACAGGACTCTGTCCACGTATTTCCTAAGTGGCTGCATCGCACTGGCTGTGATGGCCCCGATCGGACAGCGTCGAGCTCCTCTAAACTGAGAAATCAGAAAAAGGGGTTTTGCGGAGCAGGAAGCCTGATCTAACTGGTTGTCTTTTAGGAGCAGTTGACATGGGGAATGTTCTAGTGCGGTGGTTCTCAACCTTCTGGCCCTTTAAATACAGCTCCTCATGTTGTGACCCAACCATAACATTATTTTCGTTGCTACTTCATCACTGTCATGTTGCTACTGTGATGAATCGTCATGTAAATATCTGATCTGCAGGATGGTCTTAGGCGACCCCTGTGAAAGGGTCGTTTGACCGCCAATGGGGTGGTGACCCACAGGTTGAGAACGGCTGTTCTAGTGAGACTGACTTTGGTTTTGTAATCAACATTATTCTGATAGGCTGCAAGGGAACCTGTATCAGGAACTTTAGCTCCTCTTTGTTCAATTTCACCCTTCCCAGTTCCCCGGCCCCTGAAAAGGATGAAATAAAAATGGACATTTACTGAGCCCCGACTCTAGATCGGGAGGCATTCTGCTGGGACACTTTATGTTATGGCGACCTGTTACTCCTTATGAATTAAAGGGGGGGTATTGCTTATTATGTTGAATTAAAGGGGAGGTATTGCCTATGTCCCACGCGCTTGAAGACACATACTTGATCCGTGGCCTTCCTGGGCGGGTTTGTGTCTCCCGCAGACGCCGCCCACCTGATGTGGTTCGAAAGGCTCTACGTGCGGCTGCAGTGTTTTGAAAAGTACATCCTGTACCCGGCCATCATCCTCAACGCGCTCACCATCGATGCGTTCTCCATCAGCAACTACCGGAGGCTCGGGACCCAGTAAGTGGGCGATGGCTCATCTCCTCCCGGCGGGGCTCACGACATTGGCGAGACCCAGTGAACTTTCTCTAGACGGGAGGTCGGCTTCGTGGGGTTCGTGGGGTGTTCCCCACCTCGCAGAGCGCAGAGCGGGGCGGGCGGGCGTTTGCAGAGCAGCCCCGGTGCCGACGGAGGCGGAGCTGGAAGTGGTGTCGGGAATGACTGTCGGCGGGTTTGAGAATCATCCTGCAGCGTAGACAGTGAGCGCTCACGGGAAGGCGTGAGGCCGGGGCTCCCCGAGTTCCTGCCTCGTGTCACTTCATTCAGCAAGTGCGCTGGCGTTCAGTGCTGGTGGGGTGTCCCTGCTCGCCGTTGTCAGGAGACGCGCAGTCGAGTCACTGGTTCCATTCATGCAGATTAACTCTGGGTTCACCGCCGGAAATCCACCGGATCATTTGTGGATTTGTCTTTCTGCCTAAGGCAGTGATGGCGAACCTTTTGAGCTCGGCGTGTCAGCATTTTGAAAAACCCTAACTTAACTCTGGTGCCGTGTCACATATAGACATTTTTTGATATTTGCAACCATAGTAAAACAAAGACTTATATTTTTGATGTTTATTTTATATATTTAAATGCCATTTAACAAAGAAAAATCAACCAAAAACATGAGTTCACGTGTCACCTCTGACATGCGTGTCATAGGTTCGCCATCACTGGCCTAAGGGGTTCTGGTCCAATGAGCTGTTGGAGGAGGAGGCTGGGAAAGAGATACGCTCCCAGATTTGCTCGGGAGTCACGTGGCTCAGACATTACCTGCCCAGGTCAACCCTGATGCCTGATCCCAGGCGGGCGGGGCCACTCCCGCTCTTCCTTTCAGGGGGGTGAGGATGGATCCGGGTTGTCTGCCAAAGGCCGAGCAGGCTAAGCCCCAAGGCCTCTGAGTCCTGGGATCCGAGCAGGTTCCTGGTCAGGCGCGGCAGACACTGACATGCATGGCCCCGTCACCTCCTGCCCGCCTGCCTCCCGGTCCAGACCTGGCTCGGGGAGGCCAGGGCAAGAGGCCCTGTCATTGGTACTTAGAATCCCAGGCTTCGGTCCAGGGGTGACAGTCAGCCTCGCTGGGGTAAGGAGGGGTGGACGCTGGGACTGCGGAGGCCTGTCGCTGCCCGCGGCTTGCAGATAAGCTCCCATTCTTTCCGAAGGAGGGGGTGATCCAAGGCCTCGGGGGGCCATGGAGGCGTCTCGAGGGGCAGCCCCTGCTGGGGATCCCTTCGGGGCTGAGTGTAATCCCAGCTCCGCCCCTCGAGCACTGAGACAGGGGACCCCAGTCCCCGAGACGCCGGTTCCTGCTCTGTCAGGGGAGGGTGGTCCCCGATTGACCAGGTGCAGAAGGTGCAGGGGATGCGAATTCTGTGAGCCCTGGACGCCGGCGCGCTCACCGTCCTCCGTCTCCGCCCGCAGCTGGGACAGCTTCCTGCTGATCGTGGCGGGCATGAAGCTGCTGCGAGCCTCCTTCTGCCACCCCGGGCGCCAGTTCGCGCCCCTGGGCTTCGCCGTCCTCTTCTTCCACTTCGACTGCAGGGGCCTGTCCGAGAGCTTCCTGCTGGACTTCTTCCTCGTGTCCATCCTGTTCAGCAAGGCAAGTCCGCGGCCCTTCCCTTCACTCAGTCTCCAAGGTGCATTTCTTACCGGATGGCCTCTTCCTTGGTTTTCTGACGCAGGTGGTAAGTCTTGCACTAAAGTTGAACCACATGGCCCGGCCGGTGTGGCTCAGCGGGTAGAGCGTCAGCCCGCGGACCAAAGGGTCCCGGCTTTGATTCCGGTCAAGGGCACGTACCTCGGTTGCAGGCTCCTCCCCGGCCCGGGCCCTGGTTGGGGCTCATGCAGGAGGCAACCAATCGATGTGTCTTTCTCACATCAACGTTTCTCTCTGTCTCTCCTTCTCCCTTCAACTCTCACTAAAAATCAGTGGAAAAATATCCTCGGGTGAGGATTAACAACAAGAAAACAAAAACCAAAACAAAAATAGACAGAGAAGAAAAGGCTAAATAAAACCCAAAACAAGAATGGGGACCGTGTATCAAAGAGAAGTTGGATGTAAAGGATGAAGGAACTGGAAGGAAGGCAGAGCGCTGCATAAACCCTATTATTATCACATTGCACCCCAAGAACAAGGTAGCTCTCTCTCACCATCACCTGATTCTTCCTGTGGACGTCCACCCTAGCCTCCTTCAGGGGACCCACCCCTGACCCCGTGCACAGCCAGAAACGCTCACCGACACAGATTCCATGTAACCCCTAACTCTTGGGGGTTTCCACGGGACCTGTGAGAGGTGTGCACTCCTGCCTCCTGGCGGTTGTAACATGCCCGTGTGCCCTGGTGGCTTCATTTGCATGCACGGATACGCTAACGAGCAGCTATGAGCTAGGACCCTGGCTGAGGCTTCCTGTCCCATTCCGTTGGGGTCTGAATCACCTGGCTGCATAAGGCCGGCTCATCAAGACCGAGGTTGTCGCACTTCCCTCATTAGCTCCCACTCATTTGCCTAAGTAGCTCTCTCCTGCTGGGCGCGCTCCTGCCCTCTGCAGCCCCCTTTCTCTTTTTCGTTACAATTTTCCAAAGTGCACTTCACGGGTGACAAACTGTCACCCTGGTGGCTCTCTCCTCTCTCGGTGTTTCCTGCCCTTCAGGTTTTATTTCCACTTTATTGCAGTAGGCTAATCAGGTTCCTACTGCTTGATACCTCTTGCCTGAAAAATTCTGCTGCTGTTTTGCATTTATTAGTAAATATGGTGTTTACTGCCATATAGCACTCACAGTCTTCATCAGGCTTAAGGAAAACGCTTTTATTATGGGGGTGCAAGGGGCTTTTTGTGAGTGAGTTGAATTTATTTTCCAATATTCTTCCTGCATTCAATGAGCATCATAAGGTTTTTCTTTTTTTACTTTCTTCATTTTTAAAACATACTGACATTTCTTCTAATGTTCAAACATTTGAAGATGAACCAAACTTGGTCATATGTTTTGTACATTTATAGATTCATTGTGTAAACATTTTATTGAGGAATTTTGCATTTATATTAATAGGTGAGAACATGTATATTATTCTTGTTTACTTTAATATGAAAGAATACTCTCCCAATGTGAACCGTGAAGTTTTTCTATGATGGACACTTGAAGGCTATGTATTTTCCTCTATAAACTGCTTTAGCTGAGTCCCACAGGTTAGGATTGGTACTACTGCTTTTCACTGTCATTCATTTTTAAATATTTTGTCATTCTGACTACCATTTACTCTCAGTTAGTTCAGGGTTGTGTTTGTTGTTATATCCAAATGCAGACTTTGTGGTTATTATGGCTATTGCTATTTTTCCCTCTTTTTACTATTAACTTCTAATTTAATTGCAAAGAGATTTGCATGGTATCATTTTTTTTAGCCTGGGTTAAGACTTCTTTTTTTAGTTTAGGAAGTTATATCTTGTAAATGTACATATGCTTGAAAATTATATAATTCTCATCGGTTAGCTGCAAGGTTCTAATATACTTATCTCTTAGCTAAAGCTTATCGATTCTGTTGGCAAGCTATTTTATGTGATTATTTATTAAATTATCATTTTCTGAGATGTATGTCTTAAACTCTCTCCCTATTATAATACATTTGTTCATCTTACCCTAATCTTGTCCATCTTTGTTTTTGATATCTTGCAATTATGTGTTTAAGTATATTCATTCCAGTTATTTTATCTTTCTGGTGACTCTTCCTTCTTCATTTTTATCATTATGTACTGCTTTTTTTATTTTTTAGAGTAAAAGTCTATTTTGTCTAATTTTAAAAAATATATTTTTTTATTAATTTCAGAGAGGAAGTGAGAGGGAGAGATAGAAACATTAGTGATGAGAGACAATCATTGATCGGCTGCCTCTTGCATGCCCCCACACTGGAGATCAAGCCAGCAACCCTGACATGTGCCCTTGACCGGAATCGAACCTGGGACCCTTCAGTCCGCAGGCCGGCGCTCTATCCACTGAGCCAAACTGGCCAGGGCTGGTGTCTTTTTTAAAATTCTCTTATCTAAAACTTTCTGAGTTATTTTAATATTTCTTATAAAAGCACTTATAAAAGCAGGATTTTTCTTTTTAATCCAGATTGAGAATCTATATTGTAATAGGCAGGTTGTATCTGTCTGCATTTACTGTGATCGCTGATACTTTTTATTGTATTTTTGTTGCATATTTGTGATTTTTCTTTGTTTCCCCCTCCCCCACTCCTTCTTCCTTATCTTGTATTAACCAGCATGGGCCTTCTTCGGTCCCCTTTTTCCTCTAGAGCTTTGGAAATGGAATATTGTGTATCTGGTCCCTTCGTGCCATGAATCCATGTCCACGTGTTCCTTCTTGCTCATTTTCCTACTCCCCACAGCACTACCGTTGCCTCAAAATCTCTGATAGTTTTCCCCAGTTCTTTTCTTCTGGCTTTAACCCCAGCTGAGCTCCTTAACCTGTTCCCCTGGGCCCCCCAAGGCTCTCCCCACCTCCCCTGCAGCGTCTGCCCTTTCTCGGCGGCTCTCGGCTGAGTCGGAGTGTGAGAGTGAGTCTCTCGTTCCTGGCTTTGCTTACGTGGAAATACCAGCCGCCGAGCTCAGCAAAACGTAATTGTGACGGATGCGGGCAATCACAGTGCCGCGCAGTGGGACCTGTTAGGGCTCTAGCCGGGCAGACGGGGCCGGCCCCGCGGCTGCCTGTCTGCCTGTGGCTGCTCGGCCTGACCTACTTCCAGGCCTTCTCAGAAGGCGGATGGAAACCTCGCAGGACATAGTCCTGCCCTGGAACCCAGCGGGAGTAACTTTCCGTAACTTCCTGTTGAGGGTATTTGAGGGGTCAGACATCACATGAGGTCATCTTGTTTATGCTTGCAGTCTTCACCCTGGCATCCATCACAGGTTAATTATTGTTTTTTTGAAATATATACTAATTGATTTCAGAGAGGAAGGGAGAGAGAGGGAGAAACATCAATGATGAGAGAGAATCATGGATGGGCTGCCTCCTGCACGCCCCACACTGGGGACTGAGCCCACAACCCGGGCATGTGCCCTTGACCGGAATTGAACCGTGACCTCCTGGTTCATAGGTCGATGCTCAACCACTGAGCCACGCCGGCCGGGCTGTTCTAACCTATTCTTAGCAGGTGCCTTGATGTAGGACAAGGGGAGGTAGGAGGGAGAGGCCAGCAGTAGTCGCCCCGTCCCAGCCGGAACACCTGTGTGTGCTTCCAGTGACCTTGACGCCCCTGCACCATCGTCGTCACTTCTGATGAATCTTTCCTTCTGCTTTCAGCTCGGGGACCTGCTCCAGAAGTTACAGTTTGTCATGGCGTACGTGGCTCCTTGGCAGATGGCTTGGGGCTCATCGTTCCACGTGTTTGCTCAGCTCTTTGCAGTCCCTCGTATCCTTTCCGCTGCTATTTTTACCCACATTTCCTGGATGTGAGCTTTTCTCTTTTTTAATATATTTTTATTGATTTCAGAGAGGAAGGGAGAGGGGGAGAGAGAGAGAAACATCAGCGATGAGAGAGAATCATGGATCGGCTGCCTCCTGCACGCCCCACACTGGGGATGAAGCCCCCAACCCGGGCATGTGCCCTGACCGGGAATCGAACCGTGACCTCCTGGTTCACAGGTCAACACTCAACCCCTGAGCCACGCTGGCCGGGCAGTCCATCTGATGTAATATTTCCTACATTTTTGTTTCCCAGGATGTGGTTCCGGGCTACTTGCACCGGGACCCCTGGGGGAGTTTGCTAAATAGATCCCTCAGCCTGGCACCTACGTTAACAGCCCATCTCAGGGGTGCACCCTGGGGTCCTCACCTTCGCAAGCCTCCCTGGTGGATCGTATCCCCCCGATGTGTGTGACCCAACCTAGGCCCTGGCAGCCCGTCATTGGCTCGTGTTGAGGACGGCTTGGCTTCCTTTCGAACGCACGTTTGTAAGGAGTCCCTGGGACCTGAACTCCGTGTGCAGAGATGGAATAGTACTTGGGGTCATCATTAAGTGATACCGTAGTCTAGATTTTTTTATTTTTAATTCTCGCCCGAGGATACTTTTTCCATTTTTGTTTCGTTTTGTTTTGTCTTCAGAGAGAGTGGAGGGAAGAGGAGTGGAGAAGAGAAACGTCGATGTGAGAGAGACACATCGATTGGTTGCTCCCGGTACGTGCCCTTGACGGAATGGAACTGAGTCCACAGGCCGATGCCCTAACCACTGATCAAACCAGCCAGGGCTATTCTAGATTTTTTTTTTTAATTTAAAATGCCCTCCTGCAGATTTATGTGTGAAAAAAACCTTTTCTAAGCAAACCACGAGCCGGCTCACAGTGCACATTGTTGTGTGTGTCTATTCTTAGACCGGCACTGAGATTTCTAAAGTTCCTCAAGGTTATTCGGCAGAACAAGCTACGGGGGGAAAGTGGCTAAAGTGTAAGCGTGTGCACGGCCCTTTCCTGGAACTGCAGTCGTTTTCGGCCAGTCTCCGTGCTTGGCTCCTAAAGCTCTCGCTCTGGTGACACCCCCGCTAGCCACGGTCACCTTCCCAGCCTCGATCGGCTGCCAGGGTGGAGCCCAGCGCCCTGCGAGCAGGATGTCATGGGATAGATGGTTCAGGAAACTGGACAGATAGGCCCTCCAGATGCAGCTCTCAGGCCCCTGCATGCCAGCCCTGGGTGCTGGAGTCATTTTGAAAAGTTCATTGTTGTATCCCTCTGTTAGGACCTGCGGGTCCATCCTGGCGCGGGGAGGGGGCTGGTTAGCTCCGTTGGGGAATTGAATTCGCTCTCGGGCCGGCGGGGTGCTGTTTGGTAAATTGCTTTTTCCAGTTCCGGCCTGTTTCCTCCCTTGGGAGCCTCTGTCCGTTTCCGAGCCGGTAAGCCCCAGGGAGAGACGAGACTGTTCGCCCCTGTAATGTGTGTGGAGACCACGCAAGACCCTGGCCTGCGGATGAGTAGCCAGATGCAGCCAGACGATCTGTTAAGAGTGTATCTTAGGGTGGCTGCTTTCTACTCTTTTTGAGCTTCTGCTGATTTTTTTTTTAAGTATTAACGTTGATGCTGTCATTTTAAATGTACTGGGTCCAAGGCAGCTTTGAAAGGTGTTACCAGGGACCTGTTAGGTTGACCTCTTGGCTCTGTCGGTAGGACATAAAAAGGCTGCGTGTGGCCCGGCCGGCGTGGCTCAGTGGTTGAGCGTCGACCTGTGAACCAGGTCACAGTTCCATTCCCGGTCAGGGCACAGGCCCGGGTTGCAGACTCGATCCCCAGTGTGGGGTGTGCAGGCGGCAGCTGATCCATGATTCTCTCTCATCATTGATGTTTCTCTCTCTCCCTCTCCCTTCCTCTCTGAAATCAATACAAATATATTTTATGAAAAATATATATTTTTTAAAAAGGATGGTGCCGAAACCCAGTTTGGCTCAGTGGATAGAGCGTTGGGCTGCGGACTGGAAGGTCCCAGGTTCGATTCCGGTCAAGGGCATGTACCTGGGTTTCAGGCACATCCCCCGTAGGAGATGTGCAGGAGGCAGCTGATCAGTGTTTCTCTCTCATCGATGTTTCTAACTCTCTGTCTCTCTCCCTTCCTCTCTGTAAAAAATCAATGAAATGTGTTTAAAAAAAAAAAAGGGATGGTGCAGGTGCCTGCTGTCTCAGCCCCAGTTCCCTGTCACCCCTTAGCGACCACGGTCAAGTCTTACCTGCTTGCCCCGAGCGTGCTGTGTCTCATTGGTTGTCCCTAAATGAAACCCCGCGGCCATCTTCCTTTCTGGGTGCGAAAACAGCTGGACTATAAGCTGGTCAGAATCTCAGGTGATGCTTAGAAACGGAACAGTGAAAAGACCACTTGCCTTAGCTCCCGGCTCCCAGACTCGGCCTTGCTCTTCTTCCAGACGTTGGCCACGTCTGTCTTCTCCACCCCGCTGAGCCCGTTCCTCGGGAGCGTCCTCTTCATCACGTCGTACGTCCGGCCGGTGAAGTTCTGGGAGAAGAACTACAAGTAAGACCCTGACGCTGCTGCGGGCTCGCTTCCTGCGCTTGGCGCTTCCTGGGGCCTCCTCTCGGCGCGGGCCCAGGCTCCTTGCTTTGCTCTGCTGGAGGGAGGGGGACACGGCGGGGAGCAGGTGTCTCATGGGGGCCCCCAGTTCAGGGGCTCAGCCCAGGGGCTTCGGGCTCCTGACAGAACACAGCTTGCTGGAGCCAGCCCCGGTTCCCGGCCCAGGTTCCCAGCCCAGGTTCCCGGCCCAGGTTCCCAGCCCAGGTTCCCGGCCCAGGTTCCCAGCTGTCACCATCGCCCTCCTGGGAAGGGTGAGGTCCCTGGCGATGGGCTTTGTTAAGGGCCGCAGCCCTCGATGAGAAAACAGCGCGTGTATTACCGGCTTCCTCTTTGGAGACGTGGGTGGTTTGATGGATGACTGTATACTCTTGCCTTTATGATTTTACAATCGGGCCACAGGGCCACGGGTTCACGAGTCAAACAGTGCAGTCAGATAGCAGCCCCGAACCCTGTCCCCCCTGCGGTCCGGGAGGAGACAGCAAGCCCACTCGCTCTCTGGGCAGCAGCATGGACGCTCACGCCGTGGGGCAGTCGGGCAGAAACGCAGTCGCTGAGCTAGTTGGCACCTGTGAGTGGGGGGCCCCACATGTGCAGGGAAAGCGCTGAGAAGAGCTCAGACACCCCGGCCCTTCTCAGGGGTGTATGTGGGGGTCGGGGGGGGGGGCAGGGCCCTGGGCGCGCAGGCAGCTTAGCCGATGACCGCTCAGATCTCAGCACCTGCATCCCGCCGCCTCCTGGGGAGACAGCTTTCCCGTTAGCGCTGCGTTAGGTGTTGGAATTCCCCGCGGAGTTTGGTAAATGACTTCCGTTGAGCTCAGTCCCACTTTAAAAATTGTTGATTTTGCTGCTGAAAATTCCATTTGTCCTAGGTCTTAAGGTGAAATTAAAATTCCATCTAGGGACTCCCTGTGTCGGCGTGGGATCCAGGCCTTCATTAGAGGGAGTTTGTTGTTTGCTTTGTTCCCTGCCCCCCGGGCTCTCTCATCTCCAAGGCTGAGCTGAGGGTATTTCAAAGGCGACGTGAAGCGGGAATAGGACAGCGCGTTGGGGTTGGCGGCTGTCTGAGCAGAGGGGCTCGGGGACATGGGAAACTCAAGGCCTGCTGGCATTTTAGGGGCATCGGTGGGGTGGCACCGTCTGCACAGGCAGTTATTGGGGAGACGGTTGTTGGCGGGTCACCCCTCTGGGGTGAGTCTGTCCCTCACCTCATGGCTCTGAGAAGCAAGAGGCTGCCAAGGACTGGCCGGCTTATGGAAGCTGTGACTGCAGTGAGCGCTCATAACTGAAGAGGTTTAAACTGGTTCTGGCGGCCACTTCTTACCATGGCTACCGCCAATCCGTCTTCTCCTAAATTGGTGAGAGCTGTTTTGTGGTTCAACCCAAGAAAGGCCTGTAAGGACACCCCCCAACTCTTTTTATTTTTTAAATATATTTTTATGGATTTCAGAGAGGAAGGGAGAGGGAGAGATAGAAACATCAATGAGAGAGAGAATCATGGATCGGCTGCCTCCTGCACGCCCCCCACTGGGGATCGAGCCTGCAACCCGGGCAAGTGCTCTGACCGGGAATCGAACCGTGGCCTCCTGGTTTGTAGGTCGACACTCAACCACTGAGCCACACTGGCTGGGCTGCCCCCTAACTCTTGAAAGCAAGTGGCAGAGACGTTGAGCACTCGCCATGATCTCTGGAATCGTGGCAAAGAAAGGCGCTACGGGTGCACCGAGTTCTGAGACGGACACTCCGGTGGCAGTCCAGTGCCGGCTTCTGTTGGTTGGATCGGGCGCTCCACGCTGAGCAGGCACAAGGCGGGGCTCCCTAACCCTGAGAACTCCTCATCTCTTCCCTCCGCGTGTTTCCTGTACGTTTCCCTCCCTCTGTTCCCTGGGACCCCTCGCTGTGGCCTTGTCAAACTGGAGCCATCATCCTCACCTCCCGTGCGTTCCCCACCCGCACGGCCACGTCTGCAAACCAGCTCTCTGGCCTGCGGAGGTCTCACCGTGACTTCTCCCTGTTCTGTGGCCCCTACAGCACCAGGCGCGTGGATAACTCCAACACCAGGCTGGCCGCCCAGATGGAGAGGGACCCAGGTGAGATGTTTGTTCCCTTCCTTCTCTTCCATTCAAACGATGTCCTTTGTCCTGTGGGTGGAGCCCTTCGATCCAACCAGGGGATGAAGTACTTGCTCTTTGAAATGACCGCGGAGACCACGCGCGTCTTGGTCAATACGCCGACGTAAAGATAAAGCTGAGCAGACAGGCGGGGCACGCGGGCCGGTTCTGTGTGGGAGTGAATTCGTCGTCACGTAGAATTAACGCAGCTTCGAACGCCTCTGTTCGTTCAGACATGTTTGTGTCTGTGCGATAAACATCACATACAGACGCTGCAGCCTGGTCTCTTAGGAACCATCATGTGGTGACGCAGCAGGCTCGGACGGTGCCCTTCCCTAAAGGCAGGTCATCCCACCATCCACGCTCTAGGGTCCAGAGGCCTCCAGAACTTTCCTTCAACATGAAGCTATGGAAGGATTTACCTGCTAGAACATGATTTCACTTTTTTTTCTTCCTTTCCAGAATCTATCTAATTTGCAATCATTCCGCCTCCTTTTTATTTCTCATATCAGAATGCAAATATTAACTTCTATTTTTACCCACCTCCCCCTCCCCCGGGCCAGGAATTCTGTTTGGGGAGAAGTGTATTGCACTCATTATCTGTATTTGAGTTGCGTGTACATGACTAATTGAAACTCATCATGAAATTTGAAAAGACCTGGAGAGAGAGGTTTACTTTTGGTTGAACTTCCTGGCAGTACAAGTTGGGGGTGGGTACAGCTGTCTCTCGGGGCGGCTGTGGGACGCGGTGACATTCCAGGGCCATTGATACTGGGCAGATGGACAGTGTCCTGAGTGCACTGTGCCTTTAATTATGCATAATTTTATCTCATTTTAATCTAATTATGCAGGTATGTAGTCAGTGTGTTCTGAGGAGATCACTTTGGGTGGATTAAGTTGTTTTGTTTCATTTAAACATCAAATCGTTTGGACAATTAGGCAAAAGTTAAATTTCTCATTCAGGCCCTTTCTTTAAAACTGCCAGAGACTCACATCTCTATTTAGTGTCAGAGAATCATCATAGGAAAGGAATGAAATAGAGGTCAGGCAGCTTCTTCTGCATAGAAACCAAGCGTGCTGACGCTTCGTGAGACTCCATGACACAGCTCAGCCCACGTGGATGATGAGTGACATGGGCCCCTATGACAGGTGACGTGAAGAAATCTTGTCTCGCCCTGGCCGGTGTGGCTCAGTGGATAGAGCATCGGCCTGGGAACTGAAGGGTCCTGGGTTCGATTCTGGTCAAGGGCATGTACCTTGGTTGCAGGCTCCTCCCTGGCCCGGGCCCTGGTCGGGGCTTGTGTAGGAGGCTACCGATCAATGTGCTTCTCTCATATCGATGTTTCTGTCTGTCTCTCCCTCTCTCTTCCACTCTCTGAAAATCAATGGGAAAATATCCTAGGGTGAGGATTATAGAAAAAGAGAGAGAGAGAGAGAAGAAAGCTCGTCTCTATCTTAAGAGCACTGATTCTCCACCAGGGCCTTCAGGAATGGGCTGGGAAGTCCCAGCTGTTTGATTTGAAAGGCCGACCCGGCCTGGGTGTAGGGAATCCACTAGATAAGGTCCCAGGGAAGGTACACAGGCGACCCACCTGGCGGGTGTGGGTGTCCACCTGAGACAATCATGTAGCTGGGAAGAGGGCAGAGGTCCTGGAAATGGAGGGAGGTAGGAAGATGTGGAAAATGTTGGAAGAAAGGAAAAGGGAGAGGCTGGGGTGTGGAGGAGCGGGAACAAAGGCCCCGAGGTTACAGCTGACTGAGTCGGGGAACAGAGGGGCCCGCCTGGGACATGTTGAAGGTGAGGCATTTGAGACCCACAGGAGAAGTAGACACGTGGGTATAAGGTCTAGAGCAGCGATCGCCAACCGGTGACCCGTGGACCACTGGTGGTCCCTGAGGTCCGAAAGGTTGGCGACCGCTGGTCTAGAGCTCAGACAGGGGGTCCCCGTGGGAGACACGGATTTGTAGATGTTCTGCATTTAACTTGATTTCAGGCCACTAGTGTAGATGAGACGGCGTAGAACATGTGTCAGGGAAAAACAGGCGGGTCCCACCACATCCACTGAGATGGCGAAGCATCTGAAAGGCCTGATTTAGCCCTGATCACATGACAGCTCTGCTTCCTGGGTCTGAGGGCGCAGAACCCAGCACTCACCCGGCATGTGTCTCGTCCGTCTTCAGCGAGCGATGACAACAACCTCAACTCCATCTTCTACGAGCACCTGACGCGGTCCCTCCAGGAGTCCCTCTGCGGAGACCTGGTCCTCGGGCGCTGGGGGAACTACAGCTCCGGCGACTGCTTTATCCTGGCCTCCGACTACCTCAACGCTTTCGTCCACCTGATCGAGGTCGGAAACGGCCTCGTCACCTTCCAGCTCCGCGGGCTGGAATTCCGAGGTGAGGATCGCCTGGGTGTGGAGGTTGCTGGGAGTCAGTGACTTGAGTTATCATCACATAAAACTTAGGAAGTCCCCTCTAACGAGGAAGGACTGCACCCCTGGCTGGTAGAATGAGAATTAGCATGGCCCAGCTGCCTTCATCCAGTTATAAGTGCTGATCGTCCCTCAAAAAAGGCAAGAGGGCCCAGCCGGCATGGCTAAATGATTGAGCATCGACCTCTGAACCAGGAGGTCACGGTTCGATTCCCGGCCAGGGCACATGCCCGGGTTGTGGGCTTGATCCCTAGTGTGGGGCGTGCAGGAACCAGCCAATCAATGATTCTCTCTCATCACTGATGTTTCTCTCTCTCTCTCTCCCTCTCACTTCCTCTCTGAAATCAATAAT